AAATCAGTGTTTAAAAATCTAGAAACAAATAGTTTAGATCAATGAATATGATTAAGTCAAAAATTCAAATTCAAAACTTAAATATGCTAGAATTTAGAATCAACTATATTTAATACTCATTACTAGACATGAGAACTTTCAAGCTTACTTGTAATCATTCCAAACATGTTAAACAAAAACAAAAATTTTTAGCCAAAATTCCAGCCAAAATTCCCTTCCCCCAATTCAATCAATCACATTGTCCCCAATGTGCATAAATTCCCCAAACTTATTTCAGTACTAGAAGGAAAGTAGTAAATGGTAAAAAGAAACCTTACCAAGATTGTATTGAACAATACAATAGAACGGGTGTGGGAAGAGTCTTAGCTAACAGAGCAACTAAACACTAAGAACAAAAAATTACTAAAAGGTTAAAAAATTCAAATGACAAATAAACTAAAATGAAAGCAACCAAGACAATGTATTAGAACAAAATAAACATAAACAAAACAAGAGATAAGAGAGAAATCAGTCAAATTTCTGGTGGTGGGGGTGGTTGCAGAAGCTGGAGGATGGTCTGCAGTTGGCCTTGCATGGTGTCCATCCTAGAGTCAAGACTGCCGTTCATGATCTCAAGAAGCGATCTGCAACTCATTGTTTCCATCCCGTTAAGGCGCATGTCAAAAAGAAGCGTCGCATTCGAGACATTCATTCCTTGCAAGGACTTCATCATTTGTCATGTTGGATGTGCCTTGGAAATGATGGACCAACCACCGGAAGTACCTGCACCAAAAGAAGAAAAGAAGAAGGAAAAGGAGGAGGATTATCCTCTTCCATGTTAGCTCCACCGGCTGCTTCTGCTCCTGTATCATCAGGATTAGCTTCTGGGGTGCCCACTACTTGATATGTATCCCCGACTTTTTCAATCAGTTTCATATGTATCATAACATCTAGGTCCAGTCTAGTACCACACCCTCCTCCTACACAATCATAAATTGGCCTTGCCGGGTTCCAAACCTCTAAGTATCTAGCAATCCGGGTTACAAAACATCCCACCATTATGGCCCCTTTGTCGGCTCCAGCCACCTTTCCAAATTTTTGGCAGAGCCAATAACCAATAAAAACCCCATTTCTCAAATAGCCCACAGAAAAATATAATCGTTCAAACTTAGCACCCCATCGCTTTCACTTCCTTCCAAAAAGGAATTAGATAAGAATTTGTGAAGTTAAGCGCAAGGAAGGTTTTTTTAATTTGGAGCTTTAATTTGGACAAAAATTTATGAATATACCGCAAGGAAGGTTTTTTCAATTTGGATGCCTTCGAATATCTAGGATTATAATTTACTTCACCCGTAAAATCTTGCCAAGAATTTCTGTGGGGAATCCGAAAATTTGGCTAATTTCATTCACAGTTAATTCAAAGTCTTGACTCAGGAGCCTAAAGTTAACCCCGCTTGGTGGTGAATTAGGCAATAACGGAATAAAAGCGCGATAGGAACTCAGAAATTCTAGAGTTAGAGGGACATAAACTAAGTCCTTCATCTCAAGAAATTCCCCCCATCCTATTCGCCTAAGCGGCTCTAACACAATATCTCTAAGACCCACTTGTGCTAAAGCAGTCTCATCAATAAATATATTCGGTAGAATAGGTCGAAGAGACAATTTTGTGTACCTTTCTTGTTGATCGGATGAGGCGAATTCGAATGGAAGTGCAGGAGGTGAAGGAAGGTTGAGGAGCCGGGAAGATCGCGTAGGTTGCGCGGTTTCGAGCAGCAATGGAGGAGCGGGTCTGCTAGCGTTTGTATCTAGGAGGCATTGTTTGTAACATCCTCTGGGTGAGTTGAGTCGGGTTGAACCAAACTGGTTTGGGGTAGAATGGATGATAGTGGAGCTTGATTTGCATGGAAGTTAGGACTGGTTTGCCTTCCAAACATATAGCTTGGGGTAGTAAGTTGTAATCCTTTGTATACTTGAGACAAACAATTAGAGAGTTACACAGCCAATCAGCTTTCTTCTAGAGGCTAACCCGTTCCTATCATGTTCACTTTCCTATTTTTCACGTTTTTCATTTCTTCTTACGTTTTTCCCTTCCCAATTTCCCTTGCACTTTCCATGCACGTTACGCCAGTAAAGTTCCACTCCAAGTAAGTAGCAATTTCCTTGAAGTTAAGTTATTCATCTTTAATTGAGTTATATTGGGAGATGAGTTATGAGAATTCTTGTGTATAGGAGAAAGAAAGTTCAAAAAGTTGCAAGAAAAGAGAAGCTAAAACAGAGCCCCAGCTTTGTGGCAAGACAGGTTTGATATCTCTTGTTATTTCCCATGTTCTTTGCATGAAAAATTGTGTGAAGTGTTGCCCATGAGATCATATGTTGCTTATTGTGGAGTGAATATTGCTTCACGTTGAGTGGGAGGACTGGTAATGGTGACAGGGGATGGAATGAGTTTATGAACCAGAGTTTGCTGGAAATTTTACCAGCAACTTCATCTTGATTTTGACCCCAGTAAATGATGGAACTAGGAATTGTCACAGAAGAGTTATTTGTCCCTTTTTGTGTTAGCTTTACGCGCGTTTTGGAATCACTCAATTTGAAGTTGTATATTGAGAGTTATGGCCAAAAGAACACAGACTGCACAATCTGGAAACACGTCGCGCGCCCGCGGGGTTTGGAAAGCAAGTCGCGCTCGCGACTTTCACATGCGCGGTCGCGACTTTGGTCAAAAACTCTCTGACTCTCAAATGGCACATTTCGCGCTCGCGAACTCCACAAGCCGCGCTCGCGACTTCATCTCGCGCTCGCAACTTGTGCTGCGCGGTCGCGACTTGTCGCGACTTGAGCCAGAAACCTCTCTCCTCTCTGACTCTCAATTGCACTTTGCGCGCTCGCAAGGTTTGAAGACGCGCTCGCGACTTCTCCTTGGGAAGCATCTCGCGCTCGCGACTTGTCCCTGTGCGCTCGCGACTTGTGGTTTCATGCATTTTGGACTTCATTTTCCATACAATTACATTCCTTTGCTCAACATACATGCATCCAATCATTGTAAAACAAAAATATAATATAAGAACATGGATTCAAACAACATGTAAGCAAATTTTGGTATCAGAGCAAATCAATATGATGAACTATGACGTTGTGAAACCATTTATGTGCTATTGTGTTACATTGTTGACATGCTAATCTTAAGCTCCATTGAGGTTAGGTCCATGTAGATAAGGCTATGTTCGCGACATAGAATAGCAGATCTGCGCCCCATACAGTTTGGAACTCCGGCTACAGGCCGTTGAGTGGATATGATTAAACCGTGCGGTGCAAATCCGGTTAGGGGCACCAAAACGGACAATATTGGCATAGGCGAATCCGGTTTGGGGCCTATGGCATACAATTTCATCCAGTTTCATACAGTTTATCTTATCACTTCGGTTTCACTATGACCTTATGGAGCCATACAGATATCTTGACATAACATTTCATGAATCATACAGTCTACTATACAGCAAGAAAGATTATCAAGATAAAATGAAAATATCATGATCTGTGTGCTTACATTCCATAGATTATATGTACTTACATAATTCTTTCTGCATATATGTGTGCTTAATTATGTCTTTCTATATTGAGATATCCACTGGGCTTGTATAGCTCAGCGAGTTACATGTTTAACTCGCAGGTTTTTTTTTGAGACTGGTCTAGAGAGCGTCAGCTTACAACTGCAGCAGTTCATCTGTTGAAGACACAGTCTTCAGGGTAGCTACTCATTTTGATGTGTATCTTTTTATTTTCCTTTCATGGCATGTACAGGGCACACAGTTGGTTGGGCCCATCTCATTTTGAACACTTGTATCATGTATATACATATTCAGTACACTAGTAATGTAAACGGCATCGGTATATATATATAAATATTCAGTATTATGATATCAGTATGTCTAATCATACAGTCAACCAGTGTTGTAGCATCTCGACTCGGTTCATTCGGGTTAACGGGTGGACCGGGAAGGGGTGTTACAAATTTTGGTGTCAGAGCCCTCGGTTTAATTTCCCCGGGCTTGAATGCATAAGTCAGTATAGTGTACATGCCATGACTACCCTGATGAACTAAGCAGTTGTTGTTCTTTTTTAGGAGGATGTCTCAGGAAGGTGAAAGTGAGTCACACGCCTCCAGGCAGTGGAGGTGGAGGCTCCAGCAGCACCAGGTCAAGCTAGAACAGTGGAGGGTGAGGCTTCAATTAACGGGTGGACCGGGAAGGGGTGTTACAGTAGCACTTTATCTCGAGACTGTAGGGGGCGAGAAGAAGAGGAAGGTATATGGCATCTGGTCTCAGGCATCACAGTTTTACTGCGGCTCAGCATCTCACGCTTTTGCAGCCAGCGCAGTACCACAGCCCGAGCATAGTGCCGAAGAGTTTGCTGCATTACGGGCTCGTGTTGATGATCAGCATAGTCCTAGAACAATTGCAGTGTACATCCGAAGACAAGTTGGTTTGTGCCACTTCATTGCTGATAGAGGAGGCATATACATGGTGGACCACTGTGCAAAACAGCAGATCAGCGTACTTGGCAATTCTTCTTGGATGAATTCAAAAGAAGAAGTTCATTACCGAGGCTACCTTAGATGCGAGAAGTGAAAGAATTCTTACTAGAATTCTTATACCTTAGGCAGAACAGAATGTCAGTTGCAGAATATGAAAGAGAATTCACCAGACTCAGCAGGTATGGTAAGCAGATAGTGACTACAGAGGCCGAAAGGTGTAAGAAGTTCCAAGAAGGCCTGAATGATGAGATTTAGATGGGAGTGGTAGCTTCCAGATTTAGAGAATTTTCAGCTTTAGTAGAGGCAGCTCAGGAGATAGAGCGAACAGGCCAATCAGCGTTCTAGACGCCAGCGGTCTTAGCAGAGAAAAGACCAGACTCAGAGTGCACCCAGTACACATCAGCCGGAGAGCAAGAAATTCAAAGGTGCAAGTAGTTCATCTGGTTCTAGGCCTCCTTTTAGTCAAGGCTTAGTCAGGGGCACTAATATGCCAGTAGCATCAGTGGTGGCTAGTTCTACCAGTGGGAGTCGAGGTTCAGGCAGAGGTTCTGGTAGAGGCACTGGTAGAGGTGCAGATTCAGCCGGTTATACTTCGTCACCTTGTGAGCATTGTGGCAGACGACATGGTGGAGATTGTTGGTTGGTGACTGGTAAATGTTGGACATGCGGAGCCTCAGAACATGCGGGAGCCTCAGTGACCATCAGAAGAAGGAATTGTCCTAAAAGGGCAAGAGTTCCTACACCGTTCATAGCAGGCCGAGGTCGAGGCGAGACCTCCGGAGTGCAGAGACAACAGTCAGAGACAGTGGACATGCCTGATACCAGGGGTCCAGCTAGGGTTTATGCCATGCGAGCCAGAGAAGATGAGGAAGCTCCAGATGTCATAGTTGGTGAGTTTTCGTTATGTGATCATGGAGTTTATGCATTAATTGATCCTGTCTCATCTCATTCATATATTAGTGTGCCTACACCCTGGGTTAAAGGGTTAGCGGTTGCACATGTGGGTCAGGGTATGTTGGTTACCAATCCCAGGGTATGTTGGTTACCAATCCATTAGGAGATGTAGTAACAACTCATACAGTGATCAAAGACTGTCCAATTGTTATTCATGGAAAGGAATTTCCAAGAGATCTTATGGAGTTGCCATTTAGAGAATTTGATGTTATTTTGGGTATGGATTGGCTATCTAGACATAATGCTCTAGTTGATTGTACAAAGAAAAGGGTGACATTATATACACCAGCAGGGGAAGAGATTACAGTAGTTGGGAAGCGGCGAGATTTTTTGAGTAATGTGATATCAGCCATATAGCAGCAAAGAGATTAATTCAGAAGGGTTGTGAAGCATACTTGGTATGTGCATTATACGCAGAAAAAGAAAAGTCAAAAGTGCAAGATATACCAACAATATGTGATTATCCAGATGTATTTCCAGATGAGTTACCAGGGTTAACACCAAGGAGGGAAGTGGAGTTTACCATAGATGTCTTTCCTGGAGCAGCACCAGTATCTATTGTACCTTACAGAATGGCACCAGCAGAGTTAAAAGAGTTAAAGATTCAGCTACAGGAGTTATTGGATAAAGGCTTTATCAGACCCAGTGTATCACCACCTTGGGGAGCACCGGTATTATTGTTAAGAAGAAAAGATGGATTCATTCAGATTGTTGCATTGATTACAGACAGCTGAATAAACTGAACAATTAAGAATAAGTATCCATTGCCTCGCATCGTAATGATTTGTTTGATCAGTTAA